ATAATCTTTTTCTGTGCAAGAATGAAGTGTACAGTTTCACACGGGGGATCATAAGGGGGGGGTCTTTACTACACCTTTAACTCTACTCATTGTTTATCCAGAGGTTCAAGAAAGATAACAAATAAATGCAGCCTTATCACTGTTGCTGTTCATTACTTAAAGCTATATACATACAAGCACAACAGGATCAAGGAGGGGAAGTGTACTCTAAGAGACATATGCAGGGGATATCAACATATTGTGATTCCAATGCAACACAAGCTCTACCCCTTTTGTTTATGGGTCATCTACATAAAAGGAATGTGGCTAGTATTTCCATGGATCAACTCTACTTCTGTCATTTTTATGGAAGTATCAGTCCCACAGATGCATAATGCACCATGCACAATGTTTCATTCTATGCAGTGCCTCAATTCTCACTTCTTATTGATTCTTCTTAGAAATGTTTTTAAGGCATTTTTTCTGTGTGCTGCATCAGCTGCAATCTTCCAGGGCAAATCCTTCTGTCTCTGTGGCTGCTTTGAGTGGGTCTTATCTACTCTGTCTTACATTCCCATCTATTCATATCTCCGCACAAATAGATGGGGTAGGAGAGATAGTAATAGTAATAGTAGTAAAGTTGGAAGGGACCTTGGAGGTCATCTAGTCCAACCCCCTGCTCGGGCAGGAAACCCTACGCTATTTCGGACAAATGGCTGTCCAGTCTCTTCTTAAAAACTTCCAGTGTTGGAGCATTTACTGCTTCTGGAGGCAAGCTGTTTCACTGATTAATTGTTCTCACTGTCAGGAAGTTTCTCCTTAGTTCTAGGTTGCTTCTCTCCTTGATTAGTTTCCACCCAGTGCTTCTTGTCCTGCCTTCAGGTGCTTTGGAAAATAGCTTAATTCCTCTTCTTTATGGCAGCCCCTGAGATATTGGAATACTGCTATCATGTCCCCCCTTGTCCTTCTCTTCGTTAAACTAGACATACCCAATTCCAGCAGCCGTTCCTTATATGTTTTAGCATCCAGTCCCCTAATCATCTTTGTTGCTCTTCTCTGTACTCTTTCTAGAGTCTCAACATCTTTTTTACATCGTGGTGACCAAAACTGGATGCAGTATTCCAAGTGTGGCCTTACCAAGGCATTGTAAAGTGGTATTAATACTTCACGTGATCTTGATTCTATCCCTCTGTTAATGCAGGCTAGCACTGTGTTGGCCTTTTTGGCAGCTGCAGCACACTGCTGGCTCATATTTAAGTGATTGTCTACTAGGACTCCGAGGTCCCTCTCACAGTTACTACTATTGAGCATGGTGCCACCTATGCTGTACTTGTGCATTTGGTTTTCTTGCCTAAATGTAGAACCTTGCTTTTTTCACCATTGAATTTCATTTTGTTAGTTAGTGCCCAGTGTTCAAGTCTGTCCAGATCCTTCTGTACCTGAAGCCTGTCTTCTGTAGTGTTGGCTATTCCTGCCAGCTTGGTGTCATCTGCAAATTTGATGAGTTCCCCATCTATCCCTTCATCCAAATCGTTGATGAAGATGTTGAAGAGTACTGGGCCCAGAACAGAGCCCTGGGGCACCCCACTACACACTTCCCCCCATATAGATGCAGTTCCATTGAGGACCACTCGCTGAGTACGGCCGGTCAGCCAGCTACGGATCCATCTGGTGGTGGTTCTGTCTACCCCACATTTTTCTATCTTGTCAAGTAGTAGGTTGTGATCTACTTTATCAAATGCCTTACTGAAGTCCAAGTAAATTATTTCCACAGCATTCCTCTGATCCACTAATTTTGTCACTTGGTCAAAGAATGCAATAAGATTTGTCTGGCATGATCTATTTTTGACAAACCCATGTTGGCTTTTAGTAATGACTTTGTTTGCCTCTAGGTGTTCGTTGATTTGTTGTTTGATTATCTTTTCCAGGATCTTCCCAGGTTTTGAGGTCAGGCTGATAGGTCTGTAATTTCCTGGATCCATTTTTTTTCCTTTTTTGAGGATGGGAACTACATCAGCTCTTTTCCAGTCCTCTGGTAGTTCCCCTGTGTTCCAGGATCTTTGAAAAATATAGTTCAGTGGCTCCGATATCACATCTGCCAGTTCCTTGAGATGTCAGTGTAGACACAGTTGTGTTCATGAATTATGAGTGAGATACAAATGAACACCGTACACTTATATGTAATGCCTGCCTAGTAACACTGAAATAGCATGGTCACATTTATGCCTAATTATCTCCTTCTACCAACTATACTGGCATATGGGAAACAATTACATTTTGGTAATAGCAACAGAATGAAAGGACATGTTAAGTAGGTGTCAATGCAATGCATATATCTCCGAGTTAGTGGAATACGGACAACAGTGTGTTTCCTAGTTTTGCAGAACTGTTGTTATCATTAGCAGACAATGTTCTGTGTAGCATAGGAAATGATGATGACTTAAAACCTAGTGCAGACTTTCTCTATTCTCTAGTTTACTAAACAGCATCATTCCTAGGACACTTCCCCACCCCTTACCCCCCCCCCATTGCACTTGGTGAGCATATCTTGCATTTTACCAGGTTTTTCCCCTCTCCACAGTCATCTAAGAAACTGTATGCCAAGTACCATTTAATGCCAGGGATAGCTGGTTGCATTTGTGCTTGACCAGGTGTCTTAGCCCTTGTTTATACACAATGCTCATAAAGTTGCTTTGAGTTGTACATTGTTACTGCAATTGTTTACTACATGTTTATTATGGTTGGTTGCACAGTGAGCCTGATGTTTACACTGAATTTGACATTTTTATTCACCTACCCAAGAACTTGGAATAAGCAGATGGTACTGTTTAATGGTATTAAGGCATCATCCCAGGTTGTAAGCTGTTCCAAATTAAGCCATGTAAAAATATCTAAGATGTTTTTATGTGTAGCTATGCAATAACAACAACAACAACAACAGACAAGCACCTGCAACATAACACTCCGGACTTAACAATTGTCGATAAGAAAGACAAAAAAGTCTGGATAGTGGATGTGGCAGTGCCTGGAGACAGCAGAATAAATGAGAAAGAACTGGAGAAGATAACAAAATACAAAGACCTACAAATAGAAATAGAAAGACTGTGGGAAAAGCAAACAAGGATAGTACCAATAGTAATAGGAGCCTTGGGTGCAATCCCAAAACAACTGGAGCACCACTTGAACACAATTGGCATTGACAAATTCGCTATTAGTCAATTGCAAAAGGCAGCCTTACTAGGAACTGCTTCTATCCTGTGACGAGATCTGTAATAACATCAAACATCCACATCTGCCTATCCCAGGTCCTTGGTAAAAACTCAATAGGTAGACAAAAATGCCAAATCCAGTCTGAACATCTGGCTGACTGTGCAATGATTAATAATAATAATAATAATAATAATAATAATAATAATAATAATAGAGTTGGAAGGGACCTTGGAAGTCTTCTAGTCCAACCTTCTGCTCAGGAAGGAAACCTTATACCATTTCGGACAAATGGTTGTCCAGTCTCTTCTTAAAAACTTCCAGTGTTGGAGCAATCAGGTTGTTCCACTGATTAATTGCTCTAACTGTCAGGAAATTTCTATTTAGTTCTAGGTTACTTCTCTCTTTGATTAGTTTCCATCCATTGCTTCTTGAAGCACTATCAACTATTCAACTGTGCTAGGATATGTGATGATAATGCTTAATATGTTAATGACTTTCTTTTGATTCAAGAGCATGGTGGCAGCACACTGGTTAGAATGCATTATTGCAGGCTAACTCTGCCCACTGCAACGAGTTCAAACCTGACCAGCTCAAGGTTGACTCAGCCTTCCATCCTTCTGAGGTCGGTAAAATGAGGAACCAGATTGTTAGGGGCAGTATGCTGACTCTGTAAACCTCTTAGAAAGAGCTGTAAATTATCTGGGTGAGGAATGTGAAATTTACACAAGCTCAGAATTTAAGGGAGAATTTTTATAAAATGTTTTATAGATGGCACCTTGATCCACAAAAAATGTCTCTCATGTATCCTGACCTACAGCCTAAATGTGGGAGATGTGGTTGTTTGGATGCCACCTATTATCATATTTGGTGGTCGTGTAAAAATATAAAAGCTTTTTGGATTAAGATATGGTGGAATGTTCAGAGAATCTTTAGAAAGAGGGTAAAATTTACTCCACAATTATTTTTGTTAGGTATAGTTACTGATTGTGATGCAAAGGAGGTTATATTGATGTTGAATCTGATCACAGCCGCAAGGTTGTTAGTAGGACAATACTGGAAGAAGGAATCTTTGCCCACCTTGCAGGAGTGGTTTTTTAAAGTATCTTACCTGGCGGAAATGGCAAAGATTTCGGCTTTCTTAAAAGAACAATCGCAAGAGAAATTTTTTGCTATTTGGGACAAATGGATAAAGTTTATACAATTTAAATTGGATATAAAAAATATTATTTAGCTTTTTTATAACTTTTATATATATATATATATATATATATATATATATATATATATATATATATATATATATATTCTATTGTTAATCTTTCTTTTTTCCTTTTTTTCTTTTTATACAATTTTTTTAATTTTTTTTTAATTAAGCCTATATTCTGCTCTGGGAAGCTCCGGGGGGGGGGAGGGTCTGGGTGGTTTGGGGATGGTGGGGGGAGGGTTGTTTTGGTTTGTTTAATTCTGTGGTTTTTTTTGTTTTGTTGTTCTATTGTTGTTTTCTGTTTTTTGTAAAAACTTTTAAAAATTTTTCAATAAAAAAAAAGAAAGAGCTGTAAAGCACTGTGAAACAGTATATAAGTCTTAGTGCTGTTTTTCTATTTTTATTTAGCCCCTTTCGTCTGCTATGTTGCATTATCCATCTTAAACATTCCTTGTTCGATGAGAAGAAATTATCTTAAAGATCTGAACTAAGTAACTTGCCCAGAGTATCTTTTCTCTTTTTCTTCCTTTCTTTTGGAAGATTGCAGTGAGATTCTTTTGTCTGATGCCATAATAAATTTAACCAAGCACGTATCCTTTACATCTAGGTCAGTCAGAGGGACAATCCAGCACTTGAACCTATTATCCATGGGCTGAAGGGGGTCGTACATCATGGTAAGTAGCTTCTTAAAGTTCACTTGTGCTAAGAAGAGTAGAAGACCTACAGTGGGTTACCTGAGTTGTATATGTCTCCTGTAATGATATTTGAGGGCATTGAAGCTGTTATTCAGATGCTATAAATCTCAGTCACATTTATTAGCTAAAACAGCTTTGGACTAATATTAAAAGGGGTTCCTTCTTAGCTTTCATTTGGAACATTTCTTTTTGTAAAGAAAATCTGATAGGCATGTTATGGTTTCTTATATTTTGTGATTTCTGATAATATTTGGTTTGCTGAAGATTGATCTTGTGAAAGTAATTGAAAAATGAGTACTTAATTGTTTTATTTCTTTATGAAGTATTTGTCTTTACAATTTTGCAAAGCTGATAGTGGATCTTTAACTTCCACAGATAATTAATTTATCTCAGGATAAATTTTAGGAGGATATCTTTCTGTCATTGAAATAAATGTAACCAGTTCTCTTAGCCTAATGCATATAATCCAAAGGATAAATTGGAAAGAGTAATGAAATAAATACAGCATATCAGATGTTTCTATTTAAAAAATATATTAAGAAATATCCTGAAAGTCTTATTACCAGTAATTCATAATTTGCAAGCTGTGTCAAAGTCAGCTTTGTTAGATTTTTAATGTAATGATTTGCAAAGTATTAATCATTCCGTTACATTTGGCAAGAACTGACTGGAAGACTGTAATGTATCTCAGTTCCATCTACACATTATTTTTATTCCTTTTCAAGGAGATTGGTTTTAGACATTTAGAAAGTGTAGAGCTTAACATCATTTTTTCCTTCTTGACTGGAAACCTAAAACCAGTTTTAGTGTTAGATTAAAACAAATAGGTTTCCAGATTAATTGCTTTCCTTTCAGAAGCTTTTAATGTTACAATAAATCTACTGGCAATAAAATAAGGTAACACCAAGTTCTTCATTTATGGAATTTCCTATAGGTTTGTTGCTATTTATAAATATCAGTCTTAAGCTTCCAAGTAAAAACTAGACACTGAGCTAAACACTATGTTATTTTCTTCAGAAATAGATATTATTATCTAGTGCCTGCTGGGCAACAGAAGAATCTGTTAGAAAAAGTGAATAGAGCAACTTTGGTGATTCTATAATTTGATGAAGAAATTGTGTCTATGGTTTACGTGACCTGGAATATTTTAGTTGTGTCATCTGTCTGTTTTGTGCTTGAGGACTCAGTCCACCTATAGATTACTAAAATGATCCCGTTCCACTTCCATCTGCTGCTGGAATATCTATTGGTACCTAAGTATACTCTCTCAGCCCAACTTACCTCTTTGGGTTGTTTTTGTTGTGGGGAAAGTAGGAGGAGGAAGGAATATGAGCTATATTCTCAGCTTGAATTGTTTATTAAAAAGTTAATAAAGGTGGGATTTCAAAAAAATCTTTTAAAAAAAACCCTATCTGAATTTTTTGTATGTATCAATACAAGATGGCGGTCTTGTGACCATCTCTTTTTTTCTCAAAGTTCTCTCACTTTGCTGTGCCCTTTTAGATAATAAGAAAAATTGATAATATTAGAATCACATTCTGCAGGAGTGAGAGCTATTTTGGCTAGAGATTTCGTCAGGGACTTGAATTACTGACTAATTTGATGGAACATAAATAATTGTGTCCTTCACACTGTCACCAGCTTAATGATGATAGAGATATGTCAACATAAAAAGATCAATGCAGAATTAACTGCCACTGAAAACACTTTTTTTTCTCTTCTCCAGAGATCCCTTTCTTAGAATTCCAATGTTGCATAAAGTTTAATTTTTCAAGAATTAGATTATGATCTTATGTGAACAAAAATAGACAATATGAGAAACAACAGAACTGAGGTAGAAAGTAACGCTTAAAAGTTTTTATCTGAGTTTTCCTGCTTTTGGCAGGTTTTTGTAATTGCATGCCATTTATCCCCATGTAATCACTATGGCCGCAGCAGTCAATGATTTCGGAATTTCTTGTACTGTATGACATTCCTTCACATGTATCATGCTTGCTTCTCATGTGTTACAGATTCTACAATCTGTGTCTGCTGCACCTATATTAATGAGTGCCACTTTGAATGTCTCAAATTGTTAAAAGCAAATTAGAAACATATGATGAAGCACAAAATGGACCACTTTGGATCTCTAGTGTGAACCATTTATATGTTTTCAGATCTTCCCATGGCATTACTGTATTGAACAGAAAGCAACACTCTCAGTTTGATAAGTTTGAACCAGTTTTGAGTATTTCCCAGTGTACAAATGGACTTTCAGGGCTCTCACCATCGTCCAGTTTTGTGACTCCCAACATGAATAAAATTTAAACAGTTTGGAGTGTTAAGGTGTTTTTAAGAGGGGAATAGTTGCCATAAGATTTAAAGCACTCAAGTGCTCCTCTTAAAAACTCCACATGCACTCCAAATAGTCAAATCCTGGCCTCACATATTTTTGGATTTGATTCCCCACATGACTCATAAAACCTTTGTGGTCCTCAAACTAGCAGAAGTTGTGAATTTCTGCAGGAATTTGATACTGGTTCTGATCAACCACAGAGCAGAATAACCAGTTCCATAATGCTTTTCATAAATGAGATACATTTAAAATACAATAGAGTTGTCTGAAAGTATAATATGCCATGTACAACAGAGATGGAGTTTCCGTTAGAATATTTGGCTGCAGTATTTTGTAAATGATATCAAGGTGTTTGTCTGCTAAAATGAGAAAAATATAATTCTGGGAGCTCCCAGAAAGATTTGGTAGTCCTATAGAAAGTAAAAAAAAGTTCCATATGAGAAATGTTCCACATGAGAAATGTGAGATAAATTCCATATGAGAATGGACATGCTAACGGTTTCAATGTCCCTGATCCACAGGGGTCATTTCAGTGGTGGGATTCAAATATGTGAACAACCGGTTCTCTGTGTGGATGCCACTTCTGGAAGTCCATTCTGGGCTTGGGCAACAAAAAAATAGCTACTGGTTCTGCGGAAGTGGTGCAAACCAGCTGAATCCCACCACTGGGTCATTTTAATCACATATTTGAATTTGTCCTCTAGAAAGCTGATGGAAAGGCACCTATTATGAGCCTTAAAGAATGTTCTGTGATATTTCGGTAGCATCAAAGTTTTAAAATAACTCACTGGTTGAATGCATAAGAGATTTGGTCTCCACATTTGTTATCTAGTATCCCTCATTGGATAGCTTTGCAGTTCTATGTCTGTGGTGGTTGTATAGATCTTTCATAAGTCATAGATAACAGAAGCTCTGGTAAGACACCAGATACTATCTCTAGCAAATTTCAAGTTCATGTTGATGATTTGGAGTCATCCACAAATGTGGAAAACACAAAACTCAGTAGACCACATTTTGATTTTAGTCAGTATGTGAGAATGCAAAGCCACTCTTTCCCCTTAACTTTCAATATCTCTGTGTCCTGCCACAGTGGATAAGGCAGTGATGGCGAAAGTTTTAGAGACCGAGTGCCCAAAATGCAACACAAAATGCATCGTCGGGTGCCGGGTGGGTGTGGCCCATTGGGTGGGCATGGCTGCGGTGGTAACAGCAGACTGGGTGGGACTAAAAAGGTCAATCAATCAATTCCAATTTTGCAAGATCTTTTTTTTTTCCTGCAAGAAGTTAAAATTGACTGATTGATTGAAACTTTTTTTTTTTGTACACGGTGGCGGAGGCCTAAAGTGAAAAGGTTTTATAAAACCCAGCTGAAGGCCTAGGACTAGGGCGATGGCGCACGTGCCCACAGAGAGGGCTCTGAGTGCTGCCTCTGGCACCCGTGCCATAGGTTCGCCACCACTGGGATAAGGCATACAGTATATTAAGATGCTTGTAGCACAGATCTCAAAAATTAGGATAGCACACACAGTCTAATGATGAAAATTTGATTTGAGTCTGGGCATAATAGGCCAAAGATAGCTCAGAACCATCATGACAAGATTGCTTTCTTTTCCATAGAAGAATATTGAAGTAGCAGTCCTGGTCCTTTTCAATTTTTTTTTTTTAAAAAAAGCTGAGGATTGAAAAACTGTGAGACCCAGTTTGGTGTAATGGTTTCTAGAAATCAGTTTCTGTGGTGTCCCATTCTTAATACTTCCATCTGCCCATTTTATTGCATATCCCAATACTCTCCCATCAGTTCAAACTTTGCCTTGTTTTAAGGGCTTTGTTCTATATTTCTTTGGCCACAAATTCTGAGCATAGAAAAGTATTGGATCAGACAAACTTTGGAAATATCTACTTTTCTGATTTTTCTTTGGCAGCAAATAACATAGCTGTTGCCAGTATTGGACCAAATATCATTTGCCCCTACAAATATAAGGAAACACCAGCCATTCCATTCTTACAAGCTGTTTTACTATTCAGTGTGCCCGTTCAGTGTGCCCTATCTTTAAATTGCTACTACTATTACTACAATGTCTCATGATGCTTGGTTCCACTTTCATATCTTCCCTCTGAGAAAGCAGTGCTCAATAAGGCTGTTGGTCTTCAAAGGTTTGGATGGTAAATTCTTTAAAAGTATGTTGCAGGTCTAGTAATCAATTGAAGGTCCCATTTCAAGGCAAGGGAAAAGTTACCAGTGTTGAAAGAAGAAAATATATTGATGATGGCAAGAATGTTTCATAAGTAAGTTCTTTTTCAAACTGTTGAAGGAAAAGTTTTCATCATGGTTCAGTGCAAGCCGGGAATAAACAACATGGCAACTGCTTTAGAAAGAAGGTTGCAGTTTATTGAAGAGGAGAGCCAGACAGAAAGATGGCTCTGGAAGAAAAGAGAGAGAGCACATGTAGGGAGTAGGTTTTTATACCCTCTGGAGCCTTTTGTTTGGAATTGTTCCTGTGGCATGAACTTTGACCTGAGTCTGAGTGTGCCCTTTGACATCTGTGAGTTAATCCTATTATTTCCTGTCTTAGAGGCTATGTAGATTTTAGGTGTCTTTGTCTTCTTAATCTTCTAGCTTCCACCTTCCTGAATGGTTTACAGC